CGAGCTTCCCGCGACTGGCGATCTTTTGAGGGCTTTAGGGTTGAGGCTCTGTAGGCCGTCGGAACGAGAAGCAGCTGCCTTCTCCTTGTGCACGACCTGCCGGTTCAAAGGTGCAAAAGCAATCGGGGCGAGCCAGCTTGGCAGAAGTCCACCGACTTTTTTTTTTTTATCCCGACTGGTTGATCACTCATGATCTTGTTGCACGGCGTTACTGTTACTGAAAAGCCGGGCCCGTGATCTAAACAGTAGCGCCTTATGGCCACCGTCACTCACGCCAAAATTCAAAGGATTCGGCCCGCAGCTCATTCATTGCAGCTCATTTACCAGATGCCAGGGAAGATGTAGTACGGCACTGCCTTCCTGACGGCGGAAGAGGCACAATCTGTGATGAACCGAGCAGCTCACGACGGACTGCCACAAAGAGTCTTGCTGGTGGTCTCCAGTAAAACTTCCGTACGCCCGCATGAAACATCACGAAACACAAGACATCCCCAAAATTTCCCCAAAGCCAGGCACACCTGAATGAAACTTTTCCCTCTGGGTCCTGTAGCGCTCCCAGTCGGGGCCGTACTTCTTCGAGCAACGCACCTCGTCGCGCCAGCATCGGTGGCAGTCCATGAGCCAGAAGTAGATGCCTTGACAAGGCGACAAAGGACACTGCAGTGGGTGTCCATCAGTGCAACAGATGGGGCACCGGAAGAAATCAGGATTCCCACTTGCTTGCGCTTTCTATGATTGGTTTGGAGCGGTTTTCAGACACCTTCGGACTATCAGCTTGTGACAAGGACACCTCAGCAGCTGGTGGCATTTCCTGCTGCCTCTGGTGGCCGTTGAGCCCAACTTTGACACATAACAAGCCGCTGCTGAAGGTCTTCTGGTCAACGGTAAGAGTCCTAGCCGTTTAGCCTCTCTTGATCTACCATTTGCTTAAGAACACCAAAAGAATAAAGAATGATAATCCCTCTACTAACCTCAATTAATACAATAAGGAAGATCTTTTCCGGGGTTCTTAAGCAATTCGTAGTGATTATGGCAAGCTCAGCCGAGCAGCAGTAGGCGATGGGCAGCCAAATGAAAGGCGACTCGGGATCGTAGCAGGCAATGGCCCACCTGAAATGCACAGGGAGTCTCCCGAATCAGCGGGAGGGTATGTGGCATAGTGCCAAATGAGACCAACAAGAACGGCCGAAGATTGCAAGATACACTACCTGTAACCGACCAGAAGCATGCACTCGACCTGCTGCGTGCCTACGCCTCAGCAGGAAATTACAGTACTGTAGCAGCCGATGTGCCCGATGCACATGGTCAGGTCGCCGATGTAGTTGAAGTGTCGTGCTAGGCCCCAGTAGCCTGAGGTCAGCAGCAGCGAACCTTCCTTCGTCTTGATGAACTCAGGCTTCTTGTCGCCAAAGAAGATACGGGTGCTCAGCGGTGAGCGGTATTTGTCTGCGGAACCTCGCAGCAAGGTCGTGCTTATCTCTGCAGGTGCCACACAAAGCACAAGGCCTGCCTCCGTTGTTCATGTGATCTCGGAACAGGTGCTTCTCAATGTTGGTCACACGGAAGAGGACCATGCCGAAGAGGTACATGCAGATCCCAATGATGGCATAGACGTAGTTCTTGGTGATGTAGCCATTGGTCTGACTCCCCTGCTGGGCCAAGAATCCCATGAAGCAGATGGGGTAGAAGCGACTGAGGAAGCCCCAGTCACCTGAAGCGCAACAGGAGCTGTGCGAGGCAAGCGGTAAAAATGCAGGGCAGCTCTCTTTTCCTTTTACCTAATAGGTCTGGTCACCGTATGTCAACATGAAGCCGAAAAGATCGTGGCGAATGTCGGTCGTAGTGAGGTAGGCCGGCTCTACCAGGTTATAATCAAAGATGTAGTACCTCAGCTGACACGGAGCTGAAAGCACGCCAGCTGCAGCATCAAACATGCTCCAAATGTTCATACATGGGGGCTTCCCGAAATTAGGGGTATCCATTTGGGGGCATTTTTTTGTCCTCTATATTAGGATCCCTTATTAATTATCGCAAACCCCCAAATCCAGCAAGGCGCCAATGCGCGAACGTGATGAAAATTGCCGCAAGGCCGATGTTCTCAATGGAGCCTGCGCGATGTCAGGAGAAGCTTCGGCTGGGCTTCTGAGAGTCCCGAAGACAAGATGGGTTCAAGAGCAGCTGCTTTGGGCTCGACGTACGAGTAAATTGTGAACATACCAGAGACGACATAAAAGAGGCCACAAAATGAACCAGCATATTCCAATCGTAATGATATTTTAGGTTTGGAAGCGAATCCTGTCCTGTGGCATCGCAGAAGGAGTCAGGGCTCTTCCCTTTGAAGATCGCCTGAATCTGTGCGGACTTAGCCTGGCCGTCGTCTTGCTCCATACAAACAAGGGTTTCGGGTTTCGGGTTTGCGGTTTCGGGTCACCAAGAACAGCCGGAAACGAGTATCCCAGAGTCTCGCGCGGGCCTGATGGTCACCAAAGAACAAGGAGTCACTGCCGCCGTACGCTGTTGGCAGCTTGCAATTGTAGTACATGCTGGCCTTGGCTTTGCCCAACTGAACAACAAAAAGGCAGATGCCAAGAAAGCCTGAGCTCCCTGAAGAAGCTCTGAACACTTGGGCAATTCCCCAAATAGGGGTTCCCCCAAACATACCCCCAAAATATTATAATCCGTATTTTTAGGAACCCCCATACCCGCATTTTTCGGAAACCCCCCCCCCCCCCCACTCTAGGGCGTCCAAGGCTGACTCTTCAGATTGAGGTCCTTATGCCAAGTGGCGAAGTAGGACATGTTCAGGATCACCCATCCGGTGAGGCCGGGGCGGGCGTTCCAGAACCGCTTCAAGTCAAAAGGGACCTTTAGGATGCCGTGGAACAAACGCGGGTTGCGGACCACCCCCATGAAGAAGTCGTTGAAGAAATCCTGCAACTGAAGGACTCTGTCAGGGGACGAGAAGAGGAGGCTGGGATTTTTTTGGGGGGGCAGGTGGCTCGACATCCAGGAGACCGCGCAATCAGCTCTGAGGTCAGTGTGATTACTTCTTTTTTCCGATGCTTGACAGTCCCAGTGCCGGTGAAACCCGATGCACAGATGCCTATAGGACGACACGAATTGTGAATGCCCCTCTCAAGCTCTCCAGCCTCAGCCCTCCTCAGCCCTCCTCAGCTGCCGCAGCGGCCTCCGCCGCAACCTTTTGCCGCAGGTACATGGCAAGGAACGCCATCTCACCCTGCGGCGTTGCGAGAGCCTTGTTCTCCTTGGACTTGAATCGCTGGCACTCAAAGAGCGCCTCGCCCAATGCCGAGTGAAGCCGGCGTCCGATGTAGGAGCGAACGCCAAGATAAGTCGACGGCACGGCCTCGCCAGGGAGCTGGCCGTCGATGCTGCTGTCCACATTTTGAAGGATCGCGGTGATCTCCTCCATCTGGTCCTTCATGACATCGGCAGCCGTGCGGGAGCCCGCCTCTTTTGCCTCGGCCAGGCGCTTCTGCTGCTGAAAAAGGTGCTCCTCTGCAGCTCTCTGGATGTCCAGCTTCACGTCCCAAGGCACCAAACCCGAGCACTCCACCGAGGTCAAGCTCTTTTGGGCCCTCACGGCTAGAGTCAGCTCCTTAAGCAGCTTCTTCAAACTTTCGCTGGCCCCCTGTTCTTGGCCTTCCGCCTTGGGCTGTGCTTCACCCGCTTCGTCCCCGGAGTCATAGTCGTTTGCTGCAAGAAGCTGTCGCAGCTTCTCCAGCTGGGCAGCAGCCTTGGCTTCCTGCTCCTCAGGGTCTTCAACATCCTCCTCCTCGGCCTCTATCTTCGGAGCTGTGTAGTCGGAGGTGTCGTAGTCTGCTGGTGCTAGCGTCTGCCGTCCGACAAAGAGGGTCGGGCAGTCGCAGACCTCCACGCTCAATGTGCACAGGGCCGGGCAGCGCTGTACCAGGCCGAGCAGGAACTCGAGGCCAGTGTGGCCCACCGGATGGCAGAGCAGCTCCTCGAGCTGGTTCGTCTGGCGGGCCACCAGAGAGATCTGCGCCAAGCCATTGTCGTCGAGCTGGGAATGCCGGAGGTCAAGGGCTCTGATCTGGGGATTCGCCCTCAGCACCGAAGCCAGAGCCTCTCCGCCAGGACTTCGGCTTGGGCCCTCGGCCGCTTTGGCGACCACCAGCCGCGTGCCTTCCTCCAGAAACTCCAAGCTCAAGCCAGCCTCCTCCAGCAGTTGCCAGGACACCCCCATCGTCGCCATCTCAGAGATGCTTCTCGCACAGCCCAGCTGTGCTCAGGGGGTGAGGCCGGGGTCTAACATCGTGTGATCAGGGTTGTCTGCTCGGTTGGCCCTATAAGCGTGCCCAAGTATCTGCTGCTGGCTTCTGCACACGTCTTATATGCTGGCTGCACAGTCGCGCTCCCTGGGGTCTCCCTTTGGTGAGACCCTTGAGCCGATCCCGACCACTGAAACTACCACTGCATTCGTCTGAATCCTGCCTACATTTTGGGTGTTTAAGGGCTTCCGCCAAGCATGTTGCTCCGCAGACTCACCCCCGGGGCCTGGTAATGGAACACGCCGTGGTCTTCTTCAAACTCCTGAATGAGTGCAAGCTCATGACGTGCCAAACCTTTCCTGCCTCAAGTGCTACTCGAGCTCGTTGACCGCCTTGTGCAGCCAAGAGTCTGGGTCGCGCACGTGGCGCCTCCAGAAAATCCCAAAGTCGATGTACAGCCACAGGGCCATGACATAGCTGGTGATCACAGCTTCCGTCAACAGCGCGCCCATGTTTGCGAACACGTAGTATGGCGGCAGGATCTCGTACTTGCAGAGCAGGTACAGGCCTGCCTGGCTCAGAAAGAAGGTCAGCAGGCCGTTCATCGGGTAGAGCAGCTTACGCCCGTTCTTGAGCATCACGCCCTCCTTCACATTCCCTGGCAGGATGATCTCGGCGAGGGCTTGGCAACAGACCCAGGACAGGGACACGACTGTGGGACCCCAGCAAGGGCGGATCGAAAGGCCGTCCGGCAAGGAGTAGACAAGGTCATGCCAAAAGCTTGGACCTGGAATCACAAGTCGCCCGGCATGCATGACCATGATGCCGTAGAAGTAGTAGATGGCCGCCGGGATGAAGAAGGTCCAAAAGCCTGTGCCAATGTTGCCATAGAACTCGCCGATGGGTCGCGTCTGCTTGCGGATGACTTTGCCCTTCGGAGGCGATGAGGACTCTGTCTGCACAGTCTTGCCTGGAGTCGGAGTGCCCGGAGTCGCCGCCGGAGTAGCTTTCGGCGCCGGGCTGTCTGTTCGCTTAGTGGCTGGCATTGCCAGATGAGAATGAGCTACAACTTCACTCAGCTCTCAGAGAAAATTGCTTCGGAGCATTGTCACGGAACTCTTGCGCAGCATTCACACTTAAATTAAAACTGGCGAGGTCATGGAGACTTCATGGAGTCATGCAAGCAAGGAAGTCCCAGCGGCAGACGCGCAGCAAACTGCCTGCCTTCTGCTTCACCAAGGCGAAAACTGAGCGAGCATAGTGCTTTCGCACCGACGGGCATGCGCCCTGCCCGGTATGTGGAGGAGAGAACAGGGTAGCGGGCTGAGAGAAAGGAGACTCAAGAAATTGCAGTAGTTCATTGCACATCCCCAACCTCTGGCAGCTTGCGGTTGTTGGTCATCCTGAGTCTGGCACTATGCCATCCCTCACAGCCAAGAGAATAAATCACCAAAACTCTGATACCACACGATCAACCACGCGAGTCTGTGAAATGTCACATATCTCGACGGGCTGGCTGCAAACAGGCATCTGCAGCTGCCTGATTCTGGCAACATCGATGTTCATCTCTTGGCAATCTTCCTTGGGTGTGTTAAAGTTTTCCGGGGTGGCATGTCAAATTGGAGATGTGGCCCATCGCATGGGACTGGTCCCCTCTCTCACTCTCTCTCTCTTCCTTCCTTCGACAGCACTTAACCCCCGAGGGGGTCGTCCCGAAGGACGTGCTCCAGTGATCCAGTCGGAAGTGAAACAAACAACGACAGGGTTGGAGTTGCTTCCTATTAGACTCTCTCTCTCTCTCTCTCTCTCTCTCACTGGCTGTCTGCAACGGAGCAGCCGACGTGGACAGAAGTTTCGCCATGGAGTTGCGGTCCTCGATGCTGTCGGGGTTCATAACCATGAAGGTGCCTGAGATAACTCGTCCACCATTTAATTTTCCACAGGGGCCTCCCAAAGCCTAAAAACTGGGAGGATGAGCTCAATCCGGCAAGCTCCATGCGCTCGGCCAAGATCTTGCATTTCCTAGCACCCTGCCGGGAGGTTTGATGGGTTCGGGGTTTAGGGTTTAGGGTTTATAAGTTATAATAAGGTTTAGGGTTTAGGATGTCTTGTACCAAAATGTTGCAGTAGCCATGGCACTGCCGTCCGCCAGCCTCTCTGTCACTATGGTGTTGTTACCCTCTGTCTCCAACACCACGTAATAGTGGCAGTAGTCCGACCTTCCAGTGCTTCTCTTCTTAACCGCTCTTTTGGGAAGATGCTTAGTTACCCTTAACCCTTAACCCTTAACCCTAAACCCTAAACCCTAAACCGGGGGGGGGGGGGGGCTCCATCCCTTCCGAAAGTACTTGTCTATCCGACCCCAGACCCCCTTCCAAGGCTTCTGATGACTGCGCAATAACGTGACGTGGGGGCTTGCAGGCCATAAGTTGGGCATGGATCCCATCCCAATATCCAAAAACCTTGCTCGACCCATTTCCGGGTTTAGGGTTTAGGGTTTAGGGTTTAGGGTTTAGGGTTTAGGGTACTGCCATTCAACTCTGGCCTCTTGCTGCCCCATTTCATGTCCAATCGCCGGGCTGATTCGGCATCGAGGGCCTCTCAAGGTGACACATTCTGGGGTTTTTTTGCCACCCACCCAGAACTTGCGCACATTCCTAGGGTTTAGGGTTTTAGGGGGTTTTAGGGCCTAGCGCTTTAGGTTCATTGTCGCAGAAAGTGGTCCACAGAAGCTTGCGCCGTCATGCAGCGGGCCGTTGGTGAGACTGCATGCTGCTGAGCCTACTCTTAAAGGGGGTATAAGGAGGGACCCCTAGAAGGGGCCCTTAATCTTATCCCCCTATAATATCCCCTATCTAGCTATCTATATACATATAAGTATGTATATATATATATATACCTTCTAAAGTCCCTACATTACCTAAGTAGGCCCCAAATAACTTCCCTTGACACCCTGACACAATCTTCTCTCAATGTGGGGGTTTCCGAACATGGGGGGGGGGTACCCTTTTTGGGGGTCCAAAAGGGGATTCTATCTACTTGAGGTATAAAGGGGACTCCTCATCAAATTCAATCTTGAATCATTGAATCGTAAAGTAGTCCCACGCAGGTGGACTCATGGTCAAAAATGCAATGCGAAACGGACCGAAACTTCACTCCGCTTCGTGGTCGGACCAAGGCCCATGAACCCTTGAAATCACTTCCCCGCGCAACCTAGTGAGAGCCCTTCAAATAAAGCTACCTTGTGGAATGCCCGGAGGTGCTACTTTAGGGTTTTGCGAATTATAGGAGAGGAAAGGATGGTTGCACAAAGTGGACCCTTCCGCAGCCACTTCGGCCTCGAGGAAGAGGCGCCCGCGTACCACCTTCTCTTGGCCGTGTGCCTGCATCCGGGCACTTTCTGCCCTGAGCTGAACCTACAACTCATGACTATGGCGACTGCTTCCTATAGACAACAATATACATTCTACGTATATACGAGTATGTAGCAATATATACATATATATATATAGATAGAAAATAACATATATATATACTTCGTGTTTTTTTCAACGGAACAGATGCCTCTTTCACCGCTTTCCGCTGCCCAAGTCCCCAAGTGGGTGCGCGGGTGGAGAACACCACGGCAACAGACCTCAGAGTCATTGTTTATCGGGTTCAATAGCTTTTTTAAGGGTCAAAATAGGGTTTAATAGGGTTTAATAGGGTTTTCTTAAGGGTTAAAATTGGGTTTAATAGGGGTTAATAGGGTTTAGGGCTCAATAGGGTGTTTTTTTAGGCTTTTTTGCCCATTGCTTAGTGGCCCCAGGAGAATTCTTGTGGACTCAAAGGAAGGAACCCGATTAAACCCTACCTAAACCCTAAACCCTAAACCCCAAACCCCAAACCCTAACCCCAAACCCCAAACCCCAAACCCTATAAACCCCAAACCCTAAACCCTCAACCGGCTGAGGAAGCGGCTCGGCATTGCCGGGCTCCTGGATGGTTCGGACCTCGAGGCTCCCAATGCGGTAGATGCGGAAGACCACGCCGTCCTCCGTGGCCTTGTTGAACTCGGGAGCTGCAACAGGCAAGACCTCGTGTGCGGTTGTTTGGGTTGAGGGTTGAGGGTTGAGGGTTGAGGGTTTAGGGTTTAGGGTTTAGGGTTCAGGGTTTAGGGTTCAAGAGCTCCTGGTCGAGCAGCTTCAAGTTTAGAACATCGAAAAACACCCATCCACCCACCCGGAGTTCCCAGAACATCAAGAAATACAAAGTTTCTTCTTATTCTTAGAATGGCTCAACAACAAACCTAATAGGGTTCGCAAGGGTTTAGGATCTCAACGGTTGGGGGTCTCAAGGGCTTAGGGTCTCAAGGGTTTAGGGTCTCAAGGGTTTAGGGTCTCAAGGGTTTAGGGACTCAAAGGTTTAGGGTCTCAAGGGTCTAGGCTCTTAAGGGTTTGGGGTCTAAGGGTTTGGGGTCTCAAGGGTTTAGGTCGCAAGGGTTTCGACTCTCACACTGGCATGCGCGGGCGAGGCAACGAGTAGCAGGTCGAGGGTGAAAGTAAAGCTCGAAGCACATTACGTAGCCTGGAGCACTGCAGCCAGGAAGGACAAGCCCGCACCAAGCCCCCCCTCCCCACAAGCTCCAGGCCAGGGTTTAGGGGCTGAAGGGTTTAGGGGCTAAAGGCCGGGCCTATGCCCACGAATCCTTGGCCCGGGCCTATGCCCACGAAGCCCGGGCCTGTGCCCAGGAAGGTCCGGGCCTATGCCCGCCCAGAAATTCGTGGGCATAGGCCCAAAATCCGAAAAACGGGCCTATGCCCACGAATACCATTAATTAAGGTTTATAACTATGTGGTAGGTGGTTTAAATTTAGGGTTTAGGGTTGAGGGGTCCTTTTCATAAGGGAATCCTCCTATTTTGGGGGTCTATTTTATAGGGGTCCCCCTATTTTTCGTCCACTCTCACTGTGTGATAAGGTTATATGGGGCCCGGACATCGTTGAGAAGCGATTGCTGGAAGGTGGGATCGACCTGCAGCTGGACCATTGCCGACCGAAGCTTCATCATCACCGCCGGGGACACGCCGTTCCTGAGTTGTCCAGTAACCCGGGGGAATTAAAGGTTAACCTTTGGGATTCTAGGGGGATTCTACTACCCCAAAAATGTTAAAGGTTACCTGCTCTACTACTAGGGTTCTCCATGGTGAAGCGCGAGGTCCAGGATCGTGGGAACTCAGGGCCGCAGCTCCCGGGGGTGAAGGACTTGTCGCAGAAGGCGCCCTTGCGCTTCTTCAGCAGGGCCTGCTCGTCACCGACGAGGCTCCGGACCTTGGAGATGTAGGAGTTGTTGGGGTCGGGAGGGATGAAAGCATCCGCCTCCTCTGTCCTGTCGGCCAAAGAAAGGTTGAAGATTCCTTTCAGCAGCTCCTGATTCTCCTCGCTCACCTCCTTGCCGAAGCCTGAGCGCAAGCCTTCCAGGAAGGCCCGGCCCAGCGTCACCCGTGCTTCCAGGGACTTCGCATCTGCGCTGCAGGCAGGGAGGCTGCCAGCAAACTGCTCCACTTCCGTAAGGTTGAACTGGTCCAAATTTAGGTCCACCCCCTGCGGCATCTCTCCACGCTGACTCAGCTGGAATCTCTGTGGCATAAACATGGGCCGACCCGAGGGGCCCAGCTGCATGCCCGGCATGCCCTGCATGGCAGCCTGCTGCATGGCCATGCCCGGCACAGGGATCCCAGGCCGGCGCTGAGCCAACTCGAATCGGTCCAGGCCGAACCTCGGGAGCTCCGAATTCAAGAAACGAAAATGGGGATCCCCAAATACCGACCCCAATAGTAGGACCCCTTTATGAGAAGGACCCCAATCGGGTATCCCTATAATTTCGGAAACCCTCATGTGTCTCTGGAAGGCGAGAAGCTCAACGCCGCCATAGATGGCGTGCAAGTTCGTGACTAAGCCCGTTTCGGTGTCGACGACCTTGCCGTTCCTTGGGATCTCCACCATGCACTTAGCCCCAAGCCATAAATCGGGCAATAGAACTTGCAGCACAAGCGCAGACAAAACCCCCAAACCCTAAACCCTGAAGCACGAGCTGGCCCAAGTCTGTGGCCAGGCTTCTCCAGCCGGATGCGCGAGAGGCCCCGCATGTTCCAGAGCTGCGGAATTTCTGGAAAGGCCTCCGGCACCTTCTTCTCCACAATTTCGTCGGCCAGGTCGAACCAACCTCAGGTAGGGCTTAGGATTTAGGATTTCGGGTTTAGGGTTCACGGTTTAGGCTGTGCATCGGGTATATGGGCGATACAGCAAGTGCACTCGGAGCCACTGCCCGGGACAAGAACTCTGATGGCCGAGGTCTTCTCTTAGCTGAAGACCCCTAGCCCCAAACAAGGCTAAGCTCTTGCTCTTACACATAGCATAGGGTTGCTATATCTGCTATATACCCAAAAGGTTAAAGGTTACAAAGGTTACCTACCCAGTCCCTAAGTTCTTCGGGTCTTGAGAGCCACACGTTGATCCAGCTTGGCTCCGGAGTCCACCAGGAACTTGGCGACGACGGAGGCCTCGCCGACATCTCCGGGCTAGGGTTTAGGGTTTAGGGTTTAGGGTTTAGGGTTTAGGGTTTAGGGTTTAGGGTTTAGGGTTTAGGGTTTAGGGTTTAGGGTTTAGCGTTTAGGGTTTAGGGTTTAGGGTTTAGAGTTTAGGGTTTAGAAATTTTGGGGGCTCAAGATCCTCTAAGTGGGTTTTAAGGTCTTGTTCCTGTTTGAGGGGGTTATAGGGTTTATAGGGCTTAGGGTTTCGGGTTTAGGGTTTGGGGCTTTTGGTCCCTTGAGTGGGGTTGGAGGTGCAGGGTCGTGCTTCGGGCGACCTTTGCAAGCTCGCGCAAGTGGAAGACCACCTCGGCAGCAGCGGATTGCGGACATACTTAAAAGTTGAAAGCCTCAGGAATAGTCGGCCTCTTCAAAACTAAATACATGTACAAACAAGCAAGAAATCCGAACAGGTCGGAAGCATCAACACCAACCAGTAGTCCGCAATGTGAACCTGTGATTACAAAGCAAGACCCAATTTCATACCGACATGTACCAGTAACAGCGGTTACGTCTATGTTGTTCAAATACGTTGAAATGCTCACGCAGGCAGTACCAACTAAAAAGCCTGGGTCTCCGGGCGCTCTTCCTTTCTGCGATCAGGTCGAAGTTGCGGGTGAAGGCATCTGCAAACCTCCGCTTCAGCTACTTTTACTCACCGATAATAGGGTTTACCGTTTTTGAACTCCCTCTAAACCCTAAACCCTAAACCCTAAACCCCAAACCCTAAGCCCAAAACCCTAACCCCTAAGCCCCGAACCATGCTTGAAACACTTGTGACAACTCATCTGAGCTGACAAGAGGGGGATTGGGTTTAAGATGGTTTAAGCCCTAACCCCCTTGTTTTCCCTACCAGTACTGCACAGAATGCTTGCTGTCCCCGCTGCCACCCTTTTCAGGCCTGGGGTTTAGGGTTTGGGGTTTGGGGTTTGACGGCAGCCCCGCTTGCTTGTCCACGCGACCTGGGAGGGAGCCACCGTGAGCCACCACTGCCCATCCTTCCGGCCCTTAAACTACGAACCCCCTAACCCTCCATGAAGCCCATCAACCCTATAAACCTTATAAGCCCTCAAAAACCCGAACCCTTATGAACCCTTATGAACCCTACAAGCCTAAGCCCTATAAACATCTATAAACGCGCAAAAGCCCTTATAAACTCCCTTTAAACCCTGTAAACCCTATAAGCCCTATACGCCCTCTCAACCCCAACCCCACCCTCCCTGCCCAATCGACAGCCTTCGGAGAGGGTGGTTGGCGCCGGTGATCGGGGCATCACGTAGGCCCTCTGCTGTAAGCACCTGCCACGGAAGGGGTTCAGGGGGGCTGGGAAAAGGTTTAGGGTTTAGGGGATTAGGGGGGTTTCGGGGATTTCGGGGTGCCAGGTATATACATCCCGCATATATAAGAGCATATATATATATATATATATATATATATATCTATACATATCTATATATATATATATCGAGCTTGAATGAGCCCGAATAGTCGAATAGTACGAATCAAGGTCGACTGCAACTGGTTGCTCCTCAAGTTTAGTAAGAAAGCCGGCTTTTCAAGGCACGGCACCGAGACCAAGACAATAATAATCATAGTAATAATAATAATGATAATAACAATAATAATAATCAACAATAATGATGATAATAATCATAATCATGCAAGCATGATCCGGTGCCTGCTCGCGAGCCTCCACGCCCATCTTAACGAACGGGATCACAGTCTTGTCCTCTGACGGCCAGAAACTTAATCAACCAATACCAATGTCAATAATCATTGTTTATTGGGTTCGCCTGATACCTAATGACAAGAATAAGAAAAACCATGCTACTACTGAAAACCAATGATAATGAAGAAAAGATAACAACAACAGTTTAAAGGATAACAATAACGAACGATAATAACAAACAACAATCATAGTCAGAATAATCACAATACAAATCAGCCGAGGCCTCCCGAAGCCTCCGGCCAGAGCACAAAGCAGGACCCCACCGTTAATCCCTTCCCAACGGCTTTTGGATTGCACCTGCTTATTTGGCACTGCCTGGAATGGGCAACCAGCCTAGCCGACAGGTGTCCGGGAGCGGACGCCCCAACCCCACGCCCCACCCGCACCCACCCTGCCTTGTTTTTGTTTTTTTTATTTCCTTCTGGTTTTGCCACTTTCGCATTTGGGGTGCTATGAGCCTGTTACAACAGCACCCTTTTGAAAAAAGGAAGGTGATCGCAGCTGCCTCGCCGCTAAGGCCGAGGCAGGTCGCCTGGCGTTAAGATTCAAAAAGCTGCTGCAACCATGGCACCTCCGCCAGCCGAACCTCAGCCTTCTTCACCTCATGGCTCTCTCTGCACGAGCAGCCCGAAACCCTCACACCAGAAGCATCTAGAAGGGAGAGAAAGGCGACTGGGCTCCTGGCCACAAACCATTCGCGACCCGTCCACTGGTGGTGCATCTCCAGTACTTCGGACCAGTCGAAAACACTCATCATGCCCACAATAGGCATCGTGTACTCGCCTGAATCAAGGCCAGGGATGCATAAGCTTCCTACCCTCCAAGGCAACAGCCTGGAAGCCCAAACCCAGCAGGGCTGAACAGCCCACCCCTCCAAGCCTAACGCGAGCTCCTTCAGGAAATAGTCAGCCTGATCCGAACCCGTTACGGGCAGGCTTTGCTGCACAAGACTCTGGAGAGTCGCTGTGGCTTCTCTCACGGAGCGCCAGCCCACGCAGCAAGCATGTGTACCAGGGCGGGATTCATGGTAGAGCCTCCTAGCAAGTGCCCCTGCCATACTGCAGCCGTGTTGGGACATGCTGCGGCGCCCACCTGGAACATCACATCGCCGACGCTCGTTCCAGCCAGCCAGTCTGGTTCAAACACCTTCTTCTGCGGCGTCTTCTCCTCAAATAAGCTCAGGCATGCCATGCAAGAATCCAGCTTCCGCAAGCGCCCTTCCCTTGACACCAACAGGAACACCCAAAAAAGTGCTCCAAGCAGGCACAAATCTATTGTACTTCTGTACCCAAAAGGTGCCGTACGAGGTGATGTGCAGGGAAGGCAGCCGACTAAACAATCGCAACGGAACCTCAAGCCTCTCACCCTAAACCCTAAACCCTAAACCTAAACCCTAAACCCTAAACCCTAAACCCTAAACCCTAAACCCTAAACCCTAAACCCTAAACCCTGAACCCTGAACCCTGAACCCTGAACCCCAACCCTAAACCCTAAACCCTAAAAATCCTAAAACCCGTTACCAATTCGGCCCGGCTCCATGTTCTGTGGGTCCACAGGATCCAGGGAGAAGAGCGGCTCACGCCGCCCCTGCCGTCTCACCTGCCCAAGGTTGTCTTGGGTTCCTGCATCCGAGGGGTTCAGGGCTTTGGGTAGTTTAGGGTTAACTCGGGGGTTTAGGGTTTAGGGTTTAGGGTTTAGGGTTTAGGGTTTAGGGTTTAGGGGGGGGGGGGGGGTGGAAGGGAGGTTTGGATTTCTGCAGCACCCTCTCCGGAGAGGGGCTTAGGGTTCTTTGCTCCCTGCCTAGCAGCCTCGCAACCAAGGGTTTTAGGGTTTCGGGTTCTTTTGCAGGGCTTTTGGAATTGCAACATGGCCCAATTAAGCTGAGGGGTGGTCCAGCCTAGCCGTGCAGAACTTGGGCTTGAGGCTTCTGCATCAGTGGGTTCTCTAAAGCTTCGGGGGTTTGATGGGAGGTTTAGGGTTTTTTGCCACCCGCCTAGGGTTTAGGGTTTAGGGTCTAGGCGTGGCGCATTGGCAAAAGAAAACAAGTGTGAGAGGGCTGCCACAAGGCCTGCATCAACGGTTCCGGAGCATGCAGGCCCACATCACGCAGAAACCCCCGACAAACGCTTTGTTCCCTCCATTCAACCCCTGTCCCATCAAAGAAACACCCCTTAACCCTAAACCTAGTTCTACCCATTAGTACCTTTAGGTTGGGATGTTCCCCTTTATACTAACAGTCCTGAATAATTGAAATAGTGGGTGCTGTAATCCGAATTAAGAACTGTTAGTATAAGCTGGAACATCCCAACCTTTAGGTTCTATGGGCCATTCAGCTGAGGACCTTGAGTGCGAGCACCAAGTACCTGGGTTTCGAGGGAGCTTTTGGGAACCCAACGCCTGTAAAGCTAGCAGGCCCATTTCACGAAACCAGCTGTGCCCTCCGCCCAAGCACGGGAACCCACGCGAAGTCTTTTTGTTTTTTTGTGTGTGGAGGGGGTTGGCTAGGTCAGTTGATCACCACAGAAAGTTACAAGGGCAGCTCGTTGGTTTCGGTCTTTGTTGACACCCACTGCCGCAACTGAAGTACCACTCCGCAAGGACAAACCGCGGATGCAGGTGCGTGTCATGTCCGTCTCACAGGAGGTTTAGGCTTGAGGGTTTCGTCGCTCACAACGGGTTAAAGGGTTTGGGGACATAGGATTCTAGACGGTTTGTGGCTTAGGTTGGGGCGCGCAAGCTTGGTCTCTCTAAACCCAAACCCCAAACCCCAAACCCCAAACCCTAAACCCTAAACCCTAAACCGCACCGACATGAAGTCTTGCCCAGGCAGCTCTAAGTTGACCGCAGCCGCTGGCTCCAGGGTAGCAGCCACACGTACGGTTCGTGCAGCCTGGCAGTAATCATCGTCATAATGGGAGTATAGTAATACTAGAAGTAAGAGTATCATGGGAGTATAGTAATCCTAGTAATGAGAGTAACACTAGCTAGTACTAGTAGTGATAATAGAATCATGGCCATCATCGTAGCAATTGTAAGTAGTAATAATCGTAACCCCAACCCTATATGGCTCCTTGGGACTGCAACCATATCTCATGTGGAGAGGTGGTGGTCCTGGAAGTCAAATACAAGGCAGTCGAAAGGCAACTACAAGGTGTCTGGAAAGGCAAAAGCAGCATGATAGGCAAATATGAAGGCAGGTCGAAGGTAGATAACCGGCAAGGAAAACCCAGGAAAAAGGTACAAGAAAGACTAACCACAAGGCCAGAACAATAGCTGGGTCCGATTTAGATGACTTCAACTACCTTTTTCTGCCTTTGAGTCGCCCTTTGCTCTGCCTTGATTCTGCCTTCGTTGTATTCCAGCCAGTTGCTCACCGCTGGTTCGCCAGTATGAAGACGGCACAAACCCACAGCTCGCCCAGAGGGCCATGCACCACACATCACGACACTGCCCTAAACCCTAAACCCTAAACCCTTTTTTCTAAACCCTAAGCCCTTTTTGAGCAACGGACTTTGGAGCCCTAAACCCTAAACCCTAAACCCTAAACCCTAAACCAATCCTTAGCATTCACAATGGGGCCGCCAGCACCTCGTCCCACACGAGGCTGGCGAGCCCCTGCGGAGCCGGGCTGTAGCCCAAGCGCTCTGCAATTGTCGCGCTCTTTGGCACGCTGTCCATACGCCATCCTCGAAGCAGCCATTTTTAACCCACATTAATTAAGTGGAAAGGTCAACGTGTACAAACCACTGTGCCAATGAGCTCGTCAAGCCTTGTCAAGCAAGAAGGCTATACCGACCGAGGCTCCAATGTCATACTCCCTGCGATTCTTCAACTTCTTCTCACTCTCCTGCCACTGGGCCATGTGCTGCTTAGCCGTAGCCGAGGACAATATGAAGGCTTGTCAAAATAAGAAAGCCCTGATAACGTGGACTCCCCAAAAAACACTTACAAGCCTAAACCCTAAACTCCAAGAAAGCACCCCCCAAATTTCCAAAACCCCCCCTCCCCCAATATACCCTACTATACTGCGAAGCTGTGACCTGGCCTCTGCCAAGAACTTCGTTTCCTGCTCCTGCATGTCCTGTGGCGGCGAGCAGGGTTGACTCGGCGCTGTCTCGGACATTTGATCGGCGGGTCGCTGATATCAAAGCAGGGTTGGGGGCATAATCGCTCACACTCGGACAACCACGCGCCAGTCGCTTGATCGCACGCGTCCATGCTGAAAACATCGTCCCCTGCCCCTTGTTTCACATTGTTTAGGCTACATTCCAACCCTGTTCAAAAGCGGAACTGTTTTTCCAGATTCGCCGCGCCTTCCATGCGTCGTACTCTTCAAATAATCACTTAAAGACTTTCATCATGCACTGGTATCACGGATGCAATCATCATGAGGGCATGGATGTTCTGGCACTTCGCAAGCACTGGTAATACAGACGTCTTCATCGTGCCGGCATGGATGTTCTGGCCATTCGCACACATCGTGCCAAAACACTGCGTCGAGTAGTGGGTGATCATGTGACCAACACGAAACACGGCCGGCCGTGTGAAAAAGCTGCGTTTGCAAAATGTTTATGGGCATGCACGGGTAACGTGGATATAGTCATCCTTCGCGCTTGGATGCTCTGGCCATTCGCATGCGCAGTACAACAACACTGTATCGAGTAGTGTTTGCATCATGTGACCCACACGAAACACTTCCACCCGACATCACTGCGTTTTTACAGTGTTGTTGGCATGTGACCCACAGGAAACACTGCAAGCACCGATGCAAAAACCGATGCAACTAATAGTACACACACACGCTCTGCGGAGGGAAAGGTCAGACGAGTCAAGCCTAACAAACGCAACTAATAGTACGTGCCGAGAACACGGCGTCCACCGGTGCTTTCGGCATGTTAAGGCACCCGTGCTTAGGATTTGGGGCAACCCCTAAACCCCTAAACCCTAAACCCAACCGCCAGCATGCGCCTCAATGACAACCTGGGCCATGCACTCCGGATGCACGCAGGTGCTCTTCGGGTTCCCCTCGTAGGCCATCTTGCCGCAAGTAAGACATTAAAAACCGATTTTAATGCATTTCTAGATACCTACAATAGTATATATATATATATGAGAGAGCAACCTTTCGGGTCTATTTAGCTCCTTCCTTTGTTTTAATAAGTGAAATTAAATTAAATTATTTAAATTATTTAAATTATTTAATTGACTCCCATTAAATAATTTAAAAAATTTAAATAATTTATATAAGCAAAATTATTTAAATTATTTAATTTATTTAATTGCCTCCCATTAAATAATTTAAATAACTAAAATAATTTAAATAAGCAAAATTATTTAAATTATTTAATTTATTTAATTGACCCCGATTAAACAATTTAAATAATTTAAATAATTTAAATAAGCAAAATTAATTAAATTATTTAATTTATTTAATTGACCCCTATTAAAGAAATTAAATAATTTAAATAATTTCTGGCTGGTCTGGAAAGTTTCCTGAATTAAATTTATTTAAATTATTTAATTTATTTAAATTATTTAAAGTATTTAATTGACCCCTATTAAAAAAATTAAATAATTAAAATAATTTAAATAAGCAAAAATTATTTAAATTATTTAATTGACTCCAATTAAACAATTTAAATAATTAAAACAATTTAAATAAGCAAAATTATTTAAATTACTTAATTTATTTAATTGACCTCTATTAAATAAATTTAAATAATTTAAATAATTTACATAATTTAAATAAATTTAATTCCGGGAACTTTCCAGACCAACCAGCAAAACAATTAAATAATTTAAATCCGACAGCTCAATTAAATGATTTAATTAAACTGCGGGATTTAAAATTATTTTATTGATTTTTTTTTCTGGCTGGTCTGGAAAGTTTCCTGAATTAAATTTATTCAAATTATTTAATTTATTTAAATTATTTAAATTATTTAATTGACCCCTAGTAAATAATTTAAATAATAAAAATAATTTAAATAAGCAAAAATTATTTAAATTATTTAAATTATTTAATTGACTCCCATTAAATAATTTAAATAATTGAAATAATTTAAATAAGCAAAATTATTTAAAATATTTAATTTATTTAACTGCCTCCCATTAAATAATTTAAATAATTTAAATAATTTAAATAAGCAAAATTATTTAAATTACTTAATTTATTTAATTGACCCCTATTAAATAATTTAGATAATTTAAATAATTTAAATAATTTAAATAATTTAAATAAATTTAATTCCGGGAACTTTCCAGGCCAACCAGCAAAACAATTAAATAATTTAAATCCGACAGCTCAATTAAATGATTTAATTAAACTGCGGGATTTAAACTATTTTATTGATTTTTTTTTCTGGCTGGTCTGGAAAGTTTCCTGAATTAAATTTTTTTAAATTTTTTAATTTATTTAAATTATTTAAAGTATTTAATTGACCCCCTATTAAATAATTTAAATAATTAAAATAATTTAAATAAGCAAAAATTATTTAAATTATTTAAATTATTTAATTGGCTCCCATTAAATAATTTAAATAATTAAAACAATTTAAATAAGCAAAATTATTTAAATTATTTAATTTATTTAATTGCCTCCCATTAAATAATTTAAATAATTTAAACAATTTAAATAAGCAAAATTATTTAAATTATTTAATTTATTTAATTGACCCCTATTAAATAATTGAAATAATTTAAATAATTTAAATAATTTAAATAATTTAAATAATTTAAATAAATTTAATTCCGGGAACTTTCCAGGCCAACCAGCAAAACAATTATATAATTTAAATCCGACAGCTCAATTAAATAATTTAATTAAACTGCGGGATTTAAATTATTTAATTGTTTTTTTTCTGGCTGGTCTGGAAAGTTTCCTGAATTAAATGTATTTAAATTATTTAATTTATTTAAATTATTTAAATTATTTAATTGATCCCTATTAAATAATTTAAATAAGTAAAATAATTTAAATAAGCAAAAATTATTTAAATGATTTAAATTATTTAAATTATTTAATTGACTCCCATTAAATAATTTAAATAATTAAAATAATTTAAATAAGCAAAATTAATTAAATTATTTAATTTATTTAATTGCCTCCCATTAAATAATTTAAATAATTAAAATAATTTAAATAAGCAAAATTATTTAAATTATTTAATTTACTTAATTGCCTCCCATTAAATAATTTAAATAATTTACATAATTTAAATAAGCAAAATTCTTTAAATTATTTACTTCATTTAATTGACCCCTATTAAATAATTTAAATAATTTAAATAATTTAAACAATTTAAATAATTTAAATAATTTAAATAAGCAAAATTATTTAAATTATTTAATTTATTTAATTGACCCCTATTAAATAATTTAAATAATTTAAATAATTTAAATAATTTAAATAATTTAAATAATTTAAATAATTTAAATAAATTTAATTCCGGGAACTTTCCAGGCCAACCAGCAAAGCAATTAAATAATTTAAATCCGACAGCTCAAGTAAATGATTTAATTAAACTGCGGGATTTAAATTATTTAATTGATTTTTTTTCTGGCTGGTCTGGAAAGTTTCCTGAATTAAATTTATTTAAATTATTTAATTTATTTAAATTATTTAAATTATTTAATTGACCCCTATTAAATAATTTAAATAATTAAAATATTTTAAATAAGCAAAAATTATTTAAATTATTTAAATTATTTAATTGCCTCCCATTAAATAATTTAAATAATTTAAATAATTTAAATAAGCAAGATTATTTAAATTATTTATTTTATTTAATTGACCCTATTAAATAATTTAAATAATTTAAATAATTTAAATAATTTAAATAACTTAAATAAATTTAATTCTGGGGCCTTTCCAGACCAGTCACCAGACCCCTCTCCCCCTCCCCGCAGCTACCCCCCCCCCCCCCGAACTGGGGCTGGGCCAGGGCCGGAGGGGGTGAGGGCTGGAGCTGGGCGGTGGCGCTGGAGAGTGGTGGGGGGGTCGGGGGGTGGGGGGGTGGGGGGGGTGGAGAGCCAGCTTGGCGCGCGTGGAGGGGGGGGTGTTGGGCTTCTGGGGTGGGCTGGAGGGGCCCCCACCCCCCCCGCCCTTCCCCTGCCATCCCTTTCCCACTCTTTCAAGGGCTGAGCTGAAGAGCTGGAGCTGGGGTGGGCTGGTCTGGGGCCGGTGGCGCTGGAGAGCGGAGAGGGGTTGAAGGAGCTGGGCTGGCCGAAGGGTGGAGGGGCTGGAGAGCCAGCTCGGGGTGGAGGGTGGGCCAGGGAGGGTCAAGGGGGCCAAGGCCCTGGCACAGGGCTGGGCACCCCCCCAACCACCACCCCTCTTTCTCTCACCATCCAAAAAGAGTTTAAACAAAAAAAACGTTTTTCTCTTCACCAACCCTCCCCCATCCCTCTCCACCATCAAACGCCCTCACCATGCCTACTCCCCCAGCTCACTTTTCACTCCCTCACGTTCTCAACCGCTTCCACACATTAATCAGCTGCTTTACCCTATCATCTTCTTATCATCATTTATCATATTTTATCATCTCTCATATTATCTCTTTTTATTATCTTCCATCATGTTTAATCATCTTCATATGCTTTTCTTATCATCTTCATATCATCTTTTTATCATCCTTTATCATCTTTTTTGTCATCTTTTATCATCTTTTAATCGGGTCAAAATTCGGGATCTCATTTGGAAAGCATCCTTATCTGAATCATCTTCTATCGTTATCATCCTTTATCATTTTTTATCATCTTTTTATCACCTTTTATCACCTTTTATCATCTTTTATCATCTTTTATCATCTTTTATCATCTTTTACCATATTCATATAATAGTCTTATAATCGTTTTGTAGTCTTTTCTATTTTTTCGTAATCTTTAAGATCCTGTGGTCTCTAGGTAATTAATTTTTTGGAGTGGTTCTAAGTCTTGCTTATCGGGGGGTAAGTGTTCGTAAGTTTCAAGAAGCAAATATATATATATATATATGTGTAACACTGAATTTCAAACCCCCTTAAACCCTTAAAGGCTGCGTATGTGGGGTGGTTCTAAGTCTTGCTTATCGGGGGGGTAAGTGTTCGTAAGTTTCAAGAAGCAAATATATATGCAACACTGAATTTTAAACCCCCTTGAACCCTTAAAGGCTGCGTATGTGGGGTGGTTCTAAGTCTTGCTTATCGGGGGGTAAGTGTTCGTAAGTTTCAAGAAGCAAATATATATGTAACCCTGAATTTTAACCCCCCTTAAACCCTTAAAGGCTGCGTATGTGGGGTGGTTCTAAGTCTTGCTTATCGGGGGGTAAGTGTTCGTAAATTTCAAGAAGCAAATATATATGCAACACTGAATTTTAAACCCCCTTAAACCCTTAAAGGCTGCGTATGTGGGGTGGTTCTAAGTCTTGCTTATCGGGGGGTAAGTGTTCGTAAGTTTCAAGAAGCAAATATATATGTAACGCTGAATTTTAAACCCCCTTAAACCCTTAAAGGCTGCGTATGTGGGGTGGTTCTAAGTCTTGCTTATCGGGGGGTAAGTGTTCGTAAATTTCAAGAAGCAAATATATATGTAACCCTGAATTTTAAACCCCCTTAAGCCCTAAAAGGCTGCGTATGTGGGGTGGTTCTAAGTCTTGCTTATCGGGGGGTAAGTGTTCGTAAATTTCAAGAAGCTGTGAGGGTTCCAGGTCTTGCTTGTCGCGGCCACCCCCACTCGGTCCTCAACAGGGGGACTCTCCAGGCTTTCGGCAAGACACCCCCGAAGCCTGAAACCCGAAATTCCCAAATGTCCATGCGCTAAAGTCACAAATCGCAAGCAGTGTCCCCCGTAGTTTTTGTCGAAACAGCCTTCTCCGAACTCATAAATCGCAAGCAGTGTCCCTATGCGTTGTTGTTGCGCGCAAATATCCAAAATCACAAATCGCAAGCAGGGTCCCCATAAGATGTTGCTGTAAGATTATCTACAAAATTCATAAATCGCAAGAAGTGTTACCCGTAGTTTTTTTGCGATTATGTACCAAGTTCACAATCACAAGCAGT